GCTGAGCAGGGAGCCCGATGTGGGGCTCGATCCCAGGACCCTGAGATCATGATCTGAGCCGAAGGCAGACGCTTAACGACTGAGCCACCCAGGCGCCCCTGCTTCTGTACATCTTATTACAGAATTCAGAACACTTAAGTTATGGTCATTTGTTCAAAAATCTTCTTGACTAGACAGTGAGCGTTTCAAGGAGAGGGCTTTTACTCCCGTGTCTAGCACATAAAAATAATAGCTAATACTTATCTAGGGCTTTCTCTGTTCCAGATGCTGCTTTATACATTAACGTGTTTCATCTCCACAATAGCCTTATGAGATATACTATTCCCATTTTATGAATGAAGAAACTGAGGCACAGAGAGATTAAGTAGTTTACCTAAGGTAACAAGCTAGTAAGTAGCAGAGCCATGATTTCAAGTTAAGACACTTTAAGTCCAGGAAATTTGTGATAAATGAGAGCCGTCTTCCACTTCCAAAAAGGAATAGCCAAGACTTATTGTCCTATTAGACATGAGTATAACTACCTCTAGCCTGGGAAAATGTATTGGAGGACAATATTTGTCTCAAACAATTATTCCTCTACTGACAACCAGGTTAAGCAGTTTTCTTGAAACAGACTTCTTCAAGAGGCCTACCATGCACTATTATAATTTTGTAGTGCTATATTGGAGAAGGTGGATTTCACAGTTATGAAAATATTTGTTAAGTTCCCTGTAATACTGTACAGGTAGGCAAGTCGAAATGGATAAGACTTTAGAGATTCATTTTCAAAATGAAAAAACAGGTTCAAAGACAGCAAATGAGTTAACCAGAGTCATACAGGAACTCCATGGCAGGAGGACTGGAAACCAGCCCTTTTGCCTTACAGGCTGCTTGTCTTTTCACTGTACCACACTGCCCGTAGAGTCTTACCTTTGGAAAGATTTATTACCACAATGGTATAGCCAAGGTGTATACTAAAAATGAGAATAGCAAAACCAAAAAAATAAATTAGTAATATTTAAAAATAAATTAGTAATAAATTATATTAGTAGAATATAAAATAGTAGATCAAGATAAGTAGATTTGGGGGACAGAAAAAGAAAAAGTAAATGGGAAATGGCAATTACATACTTGGGTTTCATGTAAGATAAAAATGCTTTGAACAATCTAGAACAGCTTCAGAAATGAGGTGAAAGATGACCCTGCCTTGTCAACTGCCTTAACTCCTCTCCCTTACTGCCCACTAAATTCTGTAGTCTCTACTTCGTAAATAGCTGGCCCCATTGTTTCAGTGGGCTGATGATGAGGCCTCATCACCTGTGTGGAGTGGACCTTTTTCCCAACCCTCTTCCTCCAAAAGAACCTCTCTACACTCCTTGCCTAGTACATCTACCATACTGCCACTGCTGTCAGGGTGACGTTCTAAAATTCAAAGCTCACCGTGTCAGTCACTTGTATAAAACTCTCCAGTGGTTTCTAGTTGCCAACAGAATAAAGTTCCAGCTTTTTTACAAGCAAACCCATGTCAATGCAAAGAAATTTCCTTGCATATCTAACGTTTTCATAGAGCACTGCCAACACTTATTTTATTTTGCCTAAAATCTGATACTGTCCTAAAGTTAACTCCTTCTCTTAAAGCCCTTTCAAATGGAGCTCTCCTGGGGCGCCTGGGTGGCTCAGTCGTTAAGTGTCTGCCTTCGGCTCAGGTCATAATCCCAGGGTCCTGGG